GCGTGTATGTGTGTATGTGAGTGTGTGTGTATGTATGCATGTATGTCTGTGTATATGTGTATGTTTGTATGTTTATGAGTCTGATTGTGTGTGATGGTCAGATGTCAGGTGTGGTGTCCTGTGTGTTATTGGTGTTCATTTCACATGTTGTATAATTTCCATCGGTTTCTCTCTTTACTGTTCTTATATTTCTCTTCTACTTTTTATTTTTTACTATAGTATTATTAAAAAAGCCACTGATGATGCAGAAATTAAGAAACTAACATTCAGTATTGTTTTCTACTGAAGTGACAGAAAAAAAAATAAGAAATTGTAACAGACTTGAGATATCTGGAAATAATCTTATCATCCAAACAAATCAATATATTGTATTGTGATTAATCTGGTGATTTAAATCCCTACTTGGAAGTGAGAAAGAGGGGCTTTGAAAAAATATAATCAACTAAAACAATATACTTTTAATCATTTCAGCTGATGAAATATTACGTTTGTTGGGTGACCAAAACGTTTTTTTACTAAATCTTACAGCTCCTTTAAATACGGATTTTAAATTGTTTTACATCTTCAAACTTAATAGTTTAAACATAGTGAGGTCTCCCTGTCAGCTTCTAATCAATAAAGACTGTCAAAATTTTAATTTATCAATACCATTATTTCTAAGTGGGGATTTAACATGTTTTGGTTATAGAATTAAGATATAGAAGAAACAGGAACTAATGTTGAAGTAACAGACTGATCCCAGAGGACTTCATTTAAAACCACACCTCCACTCGGCGCATGCTCACAAGCTGTCAGGATTTACAGGAAGCAGGAAAAAAAAGTCAAGTGTCTCATTCCTTTCTGCTGAGCAGGAAGCTTTCGGTGAAACTGTTGGGAGTGAAACTGGCTGCACGATGACAGAAGCTCCACAGACCAACTTTAAAACATCTGTGGCACCGCCTACTATTACACAAACACAACAAGTGTCTCAGGTTACACAAATAAGTAAATAAGTCTCTGTGTTGCAGTTGCAACATGAAACAGAGACTCAACCGCAGGGTACGGACRTCAATTATTAACGACTCAAGTCTTTACGAAATATTATTCAAAAAAAAAACAGCACATTCCTAAAATAATCACCCAAATAATTTTGGTCGAGGTTTTCAGGAAATTAAAAAAAAAAGTTAAAGGTCCAATTTTGGTTAAGTTTGTTGTGTTTTTCTGAAACAAAAAGGATTTAGGCAATTATTTTAGAAAGGGGGACGATAAGCAGAGGTCTTCCTCCACTGTTCTGCTTGTTTCAGCCGGTTCCCTGCTTCATCACACCTGATTCAAATGATTAAATTACATAGTCAGAACGTCATCAATTTCAGCAGAAGCTTGTCAATCACTCATTCATTTCAGCCAGGTGTGCTGAAGCAGGGAAACATCTAAGCCAGAGGAGCCCAAAGTGGGGCCCGCGGGCCAAATTTGGCCCGCCAAGCCATTTGATTTGGCCCACCAACAGTTGCCAAAGTTACAAGGTTGTAACCTATTATCCTATGTATATACACAGTATTTCYATTGGTCAAATGACTATATAAAAAGGGCTGTATACATATATAAAAAGGTAGTGAAGGTAGTTTTCATTCATTGTGCTGACTTTAYCTTYGATTTTTTTAGGATTAAACGTGAAACATGAAATGACAAGWAATATTTTGTTCAGATTTAACCACACATGTAGATTTGCACACTTTATAAGACCACAAAAACTCATTTTATCAATTTATGAAATGYCCCATGAGCCTTTGCTACTTGAGCATATGGCAGACTTTCTCCAAGTGCACAGACTAAAACAAAAGAGGGCCATTGCATAGCTTAATCGTTAAAAATAAGGGACTTTACTTTAAAAAGTATTTGTATTTCATGTATTATATTACTGTATTTGGCCCGCTGCCCTGGATAGATTTTCATTTTGGCCCCCTYGGGGAAAATGTTTGGGCACCCCTGATCTAAACCATGCAGGACAGTGGATCGAGAGGAGCAGGGTTTAAGACCTTTGATCAGCAGTTTGTAGGTTAACCTTTCACGCTCGTGCACTTTTAACAACTTCCTGCTGCTACGCAATGTTTACCGACATCACATATACTTAAATATCCCATTTCAAGAACTGAGTTTTTTTTTTCTTAAATCATTGTGTGTTGGATAATAAAATAAACCATTCAGTTATAAATTAGACATTGTTTGGATATAGTGATTATGTTTCCTTGTTGAGAGGATTTAAATATAATTTAAACTAAAATGCAAACTTTGAGCAGAACTTTACGAAAATGTTTTAAAAGCTTATTATAAAGCAGGGTTTGCAACYGTTTTAAAAACTAGTTTTATGTAAAATAGACATTGCTGTAATGACTCTAGGCATTTTTTTTTCTTTTGTAGGAAATCTCAATKAAGATGACAGCACAAACCAAAGTTTCGGTCAGGTGATAAAAAGATAAATTTTGAAATGCAACARCAGAAGACTGCAGTATTCCTCTGCTTCCTTGTTCGATCCTGATCTCAGCGTGGGAATCTCAAAATCCACCTTAAAGAAAAGATGTGACCCTTTGAAACAAACTGATATCATTTATCAGCAGTTTCTTATGAAGTATCACTGTATAAACAAGGATTGCATTTCAGGTTAGATAACCTTTAAACAGCCAAACAAGGCAGCAGAATTTGTTCAAATAAGCTGTACACAAACTGAAAGTACTCTGTCCAGGGACGTCTTTTGAATATTAGGGAAACTTAAGCATAAATTACCTTTATTTTGTTTTGTTTTTCCCCTTAAAACTGAAAAAAAGAGTAAAATGCCTCCAAACTGATCAAGATTGAGAAATTTAAATGAAACAAATAACATATAAAACTGTCTTCAATATAATAATAGTTATTTAAAGGATATGAACAGTCATATGGGTAGTGTCTTTTATTTTTGTAGTTTCTAATATTTTTACAAATTTGAAAAGCTGAGCACAAACTGAAGCTAAACATAATTGAACATAATTTTGGAAAAAAATGTTTTAATTAATGATCTTTCATTATGCATCCTCCAGAGTTTGGCATTATTGTTAACACTACACAATTAGCCACATTACTGGTATTAATCATCTTAATAATACAAAAATAATAAACATTAAACTATATCAAAAGGAATTTGTGGCAAAGACTAACAAAGGCAGCGCCATGCTGACAGAAACTATAACCTGTTTAATTGAGAAGTAACCGCAGTTCACCTGCAATTATCATTTTAGATCATGAATGTAATGATTTTAAACTGTTATGAGTGAACTTAATGGAGTAGAAATGTAAAAGCACCCACCTGTAGCGGCGCAGAGGCACAAAAGCACAGAAACCAGCTGCCTCATGTTGGTTTTTCTCGCTTCAACTCGATGTTTTCCACCAAAAATCCTCAAAACCCTGAAGAGGAAACCTGTTTAAACTAATCTTTCCGTCGAACAATCGCCTATGATCGTTTGTTTGATGAGTTTTCTGCCGGAGTTTCAGGAACCAACACCCTGTTTTCTCGCTCACCTGAAGACTGGAGTCCGACCAGGTGACGGTGAGCTCGGTCACTTCCGGTTAAATCGGTACAGGTGGTTCCGTGACGACAGAGTGGAAAAACAGGTCGGACTGAAAGGAACTCGCAGGAGAAGTTGTTTTATTGAGCAGAGGACATGAGTCTGTCAGGTTATTGTTCTCTGCCACACTTTTTCAGATGTTGGAGTTGTTGGACTTCCTTTCTTTGTGCAAGTGTTGTTCATGTATGGAACTCCGTTTATGCCAAAATAATGTTTTCCTCCCTCTGTATTCCTGTCCTCTCTCGAGATGAGTCAGGACTATTGTGTGTGTAGTGACTGATTTGGAAACACATTTTGTGAGGAGGGGGGTCTCCAAAATGTCAGAAAAACCCCCCAAGGGTTCTCATTTTCTTGCATGAGGTGCAGAGGATGGAGGTCTTCCATGCAAGAACATTTTCATATTCTTAWCCYAAATTTCTCTTACTTTAGTTCGTACAAAGAGCTCGTAGGGCACATCGGATTCAACACTTCTTTTAGGAAAASTGTCTAAACGAGGAGCGTAAACATGACGAATGCCACCTGTTCGCAGAGTTGTCAGGTAACTATGTATAAATACTTTGTTACTGTACTTACGTAAAAATTTTTGGGTATCTGCACTTTACTTGAGTAATTTATTTTCAGCCTATTTTTACTTCTACTTCTTACATTTTCACACAATTATCTGTAC